TTGGTAGTAAATGTAAGTTACATAATTGAAAATAACTAAATATGGGATACTCAGCCCCTGCCGAATTTTTTTTTTATATTTATGACATTTTCTGCGTACTTAGTAAATACTCTTTGTATTTTCTCTTAAAACTGTTCTTATTTGTTATGACTCGTAATGGTGGTGGAAGATCATTCCAACATTTTGTGGCCATAAATTTGTAACTACCACGAAATGCTGATGTCCTATGTTAAGGTATACAAAGTACTTTTGCACACTTTCTAATACCGTACATATGTTGATTTTGTCTCCACTGAAGCTTTTCATATAGGTATTCTGGTTTCTTTGTTTTTATCACTCCAAATAGCAGGGAGGCATAAAATAATTTGAGACGTTCCTGCATTTTAAGCATATTAGAGGCATTAAGGTAAGGTGTAACATGTGTTCGTCTTGGGATGTAAAAACAGTAACGAGCGCAAGCATTATGTACCCATTGAATTAAATTTTTTGATTTTTTAAATAGACAAGGTCCATACAATGTTATACAATAATTTAGTTTAGAGAGAACTAAGGTTTCACATAGTTTTACACGTAAGTCTACAGTGATAAACTGCCTAATTGAATATAAAACTTTTAATCGGAAAAAACAACTTTTTACGACATTAATTACATGATTTTCAAACTTTTAATAACTGTCCATAAGAACCCCAAGATTTCGTGCTTCAAAAACTCGTTCAATGTTTTCCCCATCAATACGTATGTTAGGATCAGTAGAAGTTATGACCTGTACCTGCTTTTTAGTACCTATAATAATAAACTTAGATTTTGTAGGATTAAGGAGCATGGAGTTATTTTGTGACCAAGAACTAATACGTTGAAGATCCTCATTTAACTTATCTACCGCTGTATTTACATTTTTACTATCTACACTAATATACACCTGTAGGTTATCAGCATAAATATGGTATTTGCAATTTTCAAGACATGCTGTTATATCGGAACTATAAATGATAAAAAGCAAAGGGCCTAAAATAGATCCTTGAGGGACACCGTTATTGACAGGAAGAAGTTGGGAAACATAGCTTTCGCCATCATTCCTGTTAATTATAACTTGTTGTAAACGATTATTGAGATAACTCTTAAACCACACCAATGCCACGTTATCAAAACCGTTATATGATAGTTTACCTATTAACAAATCCGTATTTATCGAATCGAATGCTTTTGAAAAATCTAAAAGAGTGAGGATCGTGCCTTTGCCAGAATCCAAAAAAGACAGCACTGTGACAGACACACTCTTCCTAAACCCTGATTGTAACTTAGGTAGTATTTTATTTAGTTCACAAAAGTATACTACTTGAAAGTGTACAACTTTTTCCAATTTTTTTGATAAATATGGTAAAATGCTAATAGGCCTTAGGTCGCTTAAATCAACTGCGTTGTCCTTTTTTGGTACGGGACGAATTAGTGCGGTTTTCCACTGAGAAGGAAGACTTTATTCTGTGAAAGACCTATTAATTATTGCTGTTATAACCTTTAATGTTTGTGGTAGTGTCAAAAGTATCATTTCCATACTAATTCGATCAACCCCTTGTGCGTTTGACTTGATAGCCATAATAACTTTTGCAACTACGCTTTCATGGACTGGCATTAACTTTAATGTGTTTGAGTTATATTTAGAACTTTTAAAGAATTTAGAATAAAACGAACCAGTATTGCTTATGTCCGGAATATTAAGAAAGTGGTGGTTAATTTTATCAGGATCATTAAAATGGTCTAGTAAATTGTTAGAATTTTTAAATGAAGGTAATGCAACCGATTTCAAGTTTTTTCACAAAATGTTTGCTTTATGTAGGTTCTGATTAATATGATAGTCAAAATATGCTTTCTTCTCAGTATTAAGACAACTTTTAACTAGTCTTTTGAGAGATTTGTAATGAGTTTTATCACTTTCAGCTTTTGTTTGTCGATACTTATTATGAGCGCTGTCACGCAGTTGCATCATGTACCGCACATTACTAGTGAACCATGGCAGTTGTCTTTTTTTAAACGTTACTAATTTCTTAGGAGCATGCTTATCAAATAATTCTAAAATTTTTTTGGAAAATTCAATTACCATTTGATCTACACAGCTAAACCGTATGATATTATCCCAATTTATAGCTTCGAAATCTGATAGAAAAGCAAGCATATTGATACTTTTAATAGGTATTATAATTTGTTGTATTGGTGCTATCTTAGGTTTTTTAAAATGGAAGTCAACCAAAACAAAAGCGTGCCCTCCTAATTCTGGTGTATGTTTAACAAATGTATTTGTAACAGGTGCATCCGTGATAACTAAATCAATTAACGTTGCACTGTCTCGTGTGAAATGTGTAGGTTCTGAAATACAGTTACTTGAATTAGTATAGGTCAAAAATTGCTTAAAACGAAGAGTTTTACTATCATTAGTATCCAAAATGTTAATGTTAAAATCGCCTAATAATATAAAATAATCAAAGTTGGATTGTGAAGTTAAAGTGTCGGTGAGAGAATCAAGAAAATTATCCACATTGACCCATTGTAGTCGATATGTTGTACCAATTAATATTCTAGTCCTATTTATGGTTACCAATATCCATTGTTGCTCCACTTCAGTAAATGTGTTAATATGTGGACAGGAACAAGCACTTACCCCTCGTCTAATGTAGAAACCTGCACCTCCGCCCCTAGTTCTTGACATATTACACGATCGAGAAATATGACGGAAGCTATATCCAGGAACTAATGGGGCACTTACATTGTCACCTGTCTGCAGCCATGTTTCGTTAATTGCCATAATATCAGCAGTGTCACGTTGTAAAGCAACCTGAAACTCGTTTATTTTGCTTCTTATTGACCCAGCATTATAGAGACCAACTCTAAAACTTTTATATCTAGCCATTGTTATATAATATAATGGAATGTCTTAAATTTTGAAACAAATTAAATAAAAAATATAGGGAAAAGTAAGAACACAATAAGTTATAACTCGTACTGACCAACATCGAAATAAAATCAACACGTATAAACAATATTAAAAAGGATTTCAACAGTTTAGCAGAATGTAGACAAAAGATTGAAATAAAATAAAAAAAGTAGGCCACAATGAGATCCCTAATATTAACAGCAAAATATTTTTATAACATTTTTACTGTTATCAGAATATTAAGTAATAAAATGTAATAATATTTGTAATCAAACTGTTCTAGAACTAAGTTGACATTAAAAGTATAACGAACATTAAAACTAATATACAACAGACCGAATAATAACAACAATAAGTTATAACCTGTACTGACCACCATCCAAATAAAAACAACACGAATAAACAATATTAAAAAGGATTTTAACAGTTTAGGAGTATGTAGACAAAAGATTGAACTTAAATAAAAAAGTAGGGCACAATGAGATCCCTAATATTAAAAGAAAAATATTTTTTGAATATTTTTACTGTTACCAGAATATTAAATAATAAAATGTAATAATATTTGTAATCAAACTGTATTAAAACTATATTGACATTGAAAAAATAACTAATATTAAAACTAACACACAAAAAACAGAATAGTAACAACAAAAATAAGTTATAACTTGTACTGACCGACATCAAAATAAAAACAACACATATAAACATTATTAAAAATTGTTTACACAGTTTAGCAGAATATAGACAGAAGATGGAATTAAAGTTTAAAAAGTAGGGCACAATTATTAGATCCCATATATTAACAGAAAAATATTGTTTTAATATTTTGACTGTTAACGGAATATTAATTAATAATATAATGTAATAATATATGTAATCACGCACAGCCCGACACGGCGGAAGGTGGAGGACAGAGTGCAGAGTTGGCACGTGGAATGTTAGAGGAGGCATGAGAGATAAGACGAATGAGTTGATCGAAATAATGAAAGAAAGAGAATTAGATGTCGTGTGTATGTCGGAGACCAAACGGAAGGGCAGTGGTACTGAAGAGCTCCCTGGCGGGGCGTTAGCTCTATGGTCCGGAGTCCCGGAGAGCGAGAACGCCTGCCAGGGAGTGGGGGTGCTGCTGTCTTCTCGGTTGGTCGATGTTATGACTGAATATAAGGTTGTGAACTCAAGACTTCTCTGGGTTCGCTTTAAATTGGGACTGACGAAGTTATTTCTTTTGGCTGTTTATGCGCCGGTAGCTTCGTCGTCCAGGGCTGAGCTGGAGGAGTTTTGGGAGAATGTAAGAGAAGTTCTAGATTTGGCTAGGGGAAATGAAAGAATTGTTGTATGTGGTGATTTGAATGGATGCGTTGGTACCGCTCGACCAGGGTACGAGTCGGTACTTGGAAAGTTTGGCGATAAAAGGGTTAATGATGCTGGCAAGCTTATACTGGCGGTGTGCAAGGAAAAGGGTCTTCTTGTGACAAACACTATGTTTAATCACAAGAAAATCCATATGTATACTAGAGAACGAAAGAATGAGAGAAGTATGATCGATTTGTTCCTGGTGGATGACCGAATGCGAAAACAGGTGATGGATACGCGAGTGTTCAGGGGGGCTGACCTGGGAACGGATCACTATCTAGTGATTACTAGATTTAGGGGTCTGTTCGCGGGTTGGCGCTACCGGACGGCAGTAACAGAACCACAGTCGGTCTGTCGCATCCGAAGCTGGAAGCTTCAGGAAGCGGATACTAGGGACAAATATCATGCGAGGGTAGCAGAAAAGCTTGACACCATCGATGGCAGAAAAGAATGTGTAGAAAGAACATGGCAGAACCTTAGGGATGGAATGGTAAGTGCAGCGGAAGAAGTGTGTGGAACAATAAAAAGAGGCAGTAGTAAAAGAAGAGATGTATGGTGGAATGATGAAGTGAAGGAAGCTGTAAAGAAGAAGAAGAAAGCATGGTTAGACTACTTGGCCTCTAGTAATGATAAGGATATGAGAGAGAAGATGAAGGAAAGATATAGGCTGCAGAAAGTTCACACGAAAGCACTGATTGAGGAAGTGCGTGAAAGGTGTAGAATGGAAGCGGACGAAAGGTTGTCGCACAACTTTAAGGAGAACTCCAAACTCTTCTGGAAAGAGGTTGGAAGGGCCCGAAGTGGTGCGACGGCCTTAAGAATGAACAAAGTGCTTTCGAGAACTAATGACGTCCTCTCAGAAAAATCGGACGTCATGCAGCGATGGAGCGAATTTTATAGAGAAATGTATGCGTGTGATGATCTTAGTGAGGGATCCGGGGATGACGCCGTGACTGGTACGCTAGACCCGGACCTCGATGACACTGAGGTCATCAGTATGAAAGAGATTGAACGTGCGATTCGAAGTTTGAAATGTGGTAAGGCTGCGGGACTAGACAGAGTTACTGCTGAAATGGTCAAGTATGGTGGGCCTCGCGTCTGGAACAGCTTTCATCTGCTGTGCAATTTGTGCTGGCGGACGGGGGATGTCCCGGATGATTGGCAATCCGCAGTCATTGTGCCTTTATATAAAGGTAAAGGTTCACATTTTGACTGCGGGTGCTATCGGGCGATCACCTTGACCAGTTTAGCAAGTAAAGTTTACTCGAAGGTTTTGACACGTAGGATGCAAGAGAAATCGGAAAGATTTCTATGAGAGGCACAATGCGGATTTAGACCTGGAATAGGATGCACGGATCAAATGTTTTCTCTCCGCATGATCACGGAGAAGCTTCTGGCTGCTAACCAGAAGATTTTCTATGCTTTTGTGGATCTTGAGAAAGCATTTGATAAGGTTGTAAGGAAGAAAATGTGGGAACTGTTGCCGGGGTATGGTGTGGATGGTCAATTGCTAAGGGCTGTGCAGTCTCTTTACTGTGACTGTAAAGCCTGTGTGCGGGTAGGGCATGACCTGTCACCCATGTTTAACGTCCAAACGGGCGTAAAGCAGGGTTGTGTCATGTCTTCCTGGCTGTTCATACTGTATCTCGACAGCTGTTTACAGAAGCTAAAAGATAGTTGTTTGGGTGTGAAATTGGGTGACATTAAAGTAAATTTTCTGCTGTATGCTGATGATGCAGTGCTCATTGCACCATCAGAGGCAGAACTGCAGGCATTAGTCACGTGTATGAAAGAGGAATGTGAAATTAAAGGTCTCCCTTTGAATGCTAATAAAACTAAGGTTCTGGTATTTGAAAGGGACGAAGAGAGAACGAAGTGTGAAATATGGGTAAATCAGGAATGTCTAGAACAGGTAAATGAAATTGTATACTTGGGGAGTGCTTTTAGCCGGGATGGAAGATGTGATTTAGATGTGGACAGGCGTGTCGCTGCCGGGAACAAAGTCAATGGTGCCCTGACTGCGTTAGTCAAAAGGCAAGGCGTAGCGAAGAGTGCACGCCTTGCAATACATAACGCAGTGTTGGTACCGACTTTGTTATATGGCAGCGAAACCTGGGTATGCCAGAAGAAGCATAAAAGTAAGTTGAATGCAGTGGAGATGCGATCTCTTCGTAAAATGTGCGGCGTTACCATGGCCGACCGAAAGCGAAACGAAGAGATTCGCAATATGGCAGGTTTGAAAGATGACCTTATCACAAAAATTGATAAGGGCGTGCTTCGGTGGTTTGGGCACGTTGAGCGAATGAGTGAAGACCGAATGGTGAAGAAAATATATAGCGCGAAAGTTAATATTAAAAGGTGTCGAGGTAGAGCGAGACTAACTTTCGAAGACCATGTGAGCAAATTGCCCGAAGAGGGTAGGGTCAAAAGTATTAGGATACTTAGACGTGCATGCATGAAGAAGATAATGAATCTGAAAGAAGCGAAAGAGGTTTGTAAGGATCGTGACACTTGGCGATCTGTTCTCTCTGGCTACCCCGTCAGGGATTGTGCGTGAAGATAAGATAATATATGTAATCAAACTGTACTAGAACTAAGTTGACATTGAAATCAATCTGTACTAAAACTAAGTTGACATTGAAAGTGTAATTGACATTAAAACTAATATACAACAAACCGAATAATAGCAAAAACGTTAGAAGCCCAAAGGCCACCAAAATCAATTTATAATCATTTAACTGTTTTGGAATATGGTTCACCAAAAATACGCCTAAAGTCGTCTTCCGAGTAGATGACGCGTACCGGAGAGTTAAAAGAATCTTCTCTCTTGACATAAACTCGGCCATCTTTTGTCCACACGAATTTCCATTTTAATTTTCGGGCCATTTCACGTGCTTTAGCAAATAGCACACGATTTGGTTTTTTTTTATATTAACATAAAACTTGGTTGTTTCTTTAGAAGGTAACCGTAGATCTACAGTGGTGAGCGTACGGCGCACACGTGCATTTTTCAGTAGGATGTCACGAGTGATGCTGCGTGCTAAACGCACAACTAGAGGACGTGCCTCTATACGGTTTTGATTCCCTGTTTGCACCTCTTGAAGTAGATTACTCGAATGGTGACCGACACGCTCTGCAAATACTATGTCATGATTATTTAAGGTAACTCCCAGCTTATTTGCAACTGTCGACATTATATGCACTGGAGTTTCACCTGAAACTTCAGGTATTCCAACTATTTCAATGTCATTGAGCAACGCTTTCTGGTCCTTGTCATTTATTTCCTGTTTTAATTCTTTTATAATGGTCTCCATATGTGAAATGTTTGGAGGCTTATTTTGTTCACTTTCTACTTGTTTACGTACACATATGTTTTCTTGCTCAAATGTTTGAACTTTTTCGCGAAGTGTACATAAATCTCTTTTTAAGTCGCATATTTCCTCTGTTAGGGATTCGGTTATTTTCAAAAACTCACTTTCCAACTTCATTAAAACTTCATTAATTCTTGCTTAATTTCCGAAGCTAAAGAGTGACGAGTGTTTTGTAGCATAAACACTCACGCCCGTCACCCAGAGGGGTAGGCAGAGATTATGGACTTCCATTTGGCACGATCCTGATACACCTCTCTCGCTTCCTCCACATCCATATACCTACGCATACACGCTCGTCGGTTAAAGGTACTCTTGATATGGCCCATTTTTAATATATCGCCAATTTGGTCGATAAACTTTCGCCTAGGGCGACCATTCCCGACTATGCCGTTCACCTCTGCAACATAGATTTGCTTTGTCACTCTTTCCTCATTCATTCTTTCTACATGGCGAAACCACCGAAGCATTCCTTTCTTAATCCTGGTCACAACATCATCTTGCAAACCACACTCTTCTCTTATTAAACAATTTCTCACTCTGTCATTCAGCTTCATCCCTAACATACATTTCTACAGAATTTATTCTACTCTCATGCTTCTTCTGCCACACCCAACTTTCTCTACCATACATTAAAGTAGGTACTAACACAGCATTGTGAATTGCCATACGTGCCTTTTTGGATACATTCTGACTTTTCACAATAGAGTGTAGAGCCCCATTCACTCTATATCCTGCATTCACTCGTCGTTCTATATCCTTATCATATCTACCATCCCTGCTAAACACACATCCAAAATATACAAACTCATCTACTTGCTCTACCAACTCCCCTTCTATTCTTATTTCACATATCGTTTTGCTGTCTTCTCTTTCAAAAACCATAACTTTCGTCTTACTTGCGTTCACTTTCTTTCCCTTTTCTTTTAATGTCCTGTTCATTAATGTAACCATCATTTGCAACTCGGTTGCCGATGATGCAAGTATGACTTGATCATCGGCGTACAAAAGGCATTTGACGGTTAACTCACCCATTCTTAACCCGCATTCTTCTACTTTAAAATTTTCCAAAGAACTGTCCATAAATAGGTTGAACAACCACGGGGAAGCCACACAGCCCTGTCTGACACCTTTATGAATGCCAAACCAGTCCGAGTAGGCCCCGTTGATCCTGACACAAGCACTAGAGTCCCTATATAGAGACTTCAATGCCTGTATCAGACCAGCGGTCAACCCAAATGAGTTCAGTGTTTGCCATAAAACATCCCTCCACTCTGTCATCTCCAAGTCTATGAACGCACAAAAAACTTTTTGGTTTTTGGCCAATAAAACTTCTCCGCGATCATGCGCATGGAAAAGACCTGATCCGTACATCCCATTCCCTTTCTAAATCCCGCTTGCACATCCCAAATTTTTCCATCAGTTTCTTTCATAACTCTTTCAATTAGTACCTTAGCATACAGTTTTCCCACAGTGCTAAGAAGGCTGATACCACGGTAGTTTTTACAGTCCTGCTGTGATCCTTTTCCCTTATATATTGGAACTGTCACGGCTTTGCACCAGTCTCCCGGTACCCGCTTAAGTTCCCAACATAAATTAAACAAGGTGTACAGCAGGTCTGCCACCACTCCTTCACCAGCCCTTAGCATTTCAAGAGATACTCTATCATAACCGGCTGCCTTACCTGCTTTCATACTTTTCATTGCTTTCATTATTTCATTTATACTTATATCTCTATCTATTTCCTCTTTTTTCGGAATTTCTATTTCATTTAATTCAAACGTCTCATCGCTCATAAACACGCTTTCAAAGTATTCCTTCCATCTCCTTAAACTCAAAACTTCGTCATTCAGAATACAGCCATTCTGGTCTCGTATAGCATTCATTCTAGGCTGTTTTGAATGTCCCCTGGTAGCTATTACGAGTTTCCAGAACATTTTAATGTTTGCCTGGAAGTTATCCGATATTCTTCTATCATTCTTATCCGTTCTTTCTTGCTTTTTCCTTTCAACTACTTCTTTTACTCTCTTATTTGGGTGTCTAAAAACTGCCTTTTTCCTTTCAATATCATCATTCATACATACACATACATATAATCACGCCTCTTTCCCGTGGGGGTAGGCAGAGACCAGTTCTTTCCACTTGCTACGATCCTTGCATACTTGTTTTGCTTCGTCCACTTTCATTATTCCCTTCATACATGCTCTACGGTTTAGGGTACTCTTGACCTGGCCTTTTTTCAAGACGTCCCTGATTTGGTCTAGAAATGTCCGCCTAGGTCTACCCCTTCCAACACTTTCATTCACACTCGCCTTATACACTTTTTTCGTCAATCGTTCTTCATTCATTCTCTCGACATGGCCAAACCATCTCAGCATACCTTTCTCAATTTTTGTCACTACATCTTCTTTCAGACCACAACGTTTCCTTATCTCACTATTTCTTAGCCTGTCACTTAATTTAAATCCTATCATACTTCTTAATGCTCTCATCTCAACTGCATTTATTCTGCTTTCATGTTTCTTCTGCCATACCTAAGTTTCACTTCCGTACATGAGTGTCGGAACCAACACCCCCTCATGCATAGCCAAACGAGCCTTGTTAAACACCTTCCGACTGCTCATAAAGGAGTGCAAAGCTCCATTCACCATGTTTCCTGCATTCACTCTTCTTTCGATATCACTCTCACACTTTCCATCTCTTGTAAACTTTGAACCCAGATACACAAACTCTTTCACCTGTTCAATTTGTTCATCTTCAATCACAATGTTGCAGTCTGTCACTGCCTCGTCTTTTTCAAACACCATCA